TAGCAGTTTAAATACATTAGTTACTGCATGCAGTTGAAGAAAAACAGCATCTTCCAATCTTTAAATTAAAACAAGCCAAATCCAAAACCCAACCAGGTAAATGCACATTTTTCCCTGTTGATTTTGGATCAAGCTCTGAGTGAGAACTGATGGTAGACAGCAGCTCTAACCACTCAAGGAAGAAAACAACTGGTGTTCAGTACTGGTTTACTGTTACAGTAACAGACTATTAAAAAAATATAGCTACAAAAGAAAAAAAACTTATAGCAAGTTTCTGAAGATGATACTTGATGGCTTTTTACACACAATCAGTTCTTCAGACTGCAAAATGCAAGACGATACAGGTATCAGAAGTTATCAGCCTTCTCCAACTTCCAGCCATGTTAATTAACAGCTGCAGTTCATTTGTGGCAATTACTAAATTATAATGTAAAGCCCTGCTCCAGTTAGCTGTGGAGTGTGTTTTAGGACTGTTTGCTGTTAGAATGCCCTTCAGCTTGTTCAGATTTTTTTGCCTTTTATGCTCCTGAAAGAAGTGTAATATTTGAAAAAGCTAACGTGAAATACAGATTCAGCACCTGACACTTCAGCACTTCACCTGCCTCCTACTTGGAGGGCACTTATCATGAAACCGTTTAAACCTTTAGAGAACTTCAGAATTAATTGTATTGTTGGAAAGATTGTGAATTTGATTTAGAATTTGCTTTAGGATTGACAAAGTGCCCCCACGCTCATTAATTTATTGTTATTTTATAATAACAATACTCTATATTAACAATTGTATTGCTATTGTTATTTATAGAATCAGAACAGACCTCCTATTGCAATGGGGACAAAAGAAAAAGGCTTCTCGGAAGAGTTCATTTGACCTCAGTCTGGGATCAAGATGAGACCCAACAGGCTGTGCACCACCTCTGTCACCTCCTTTGCAACTTGAGCTGTAGCAGATTTTGTTACTGCCTGTGTAAAGTCTGTAAACCCCAATGAGTGGTAAGAAGTGTAGATCTGGTTGTCATCAGCCTTCATCACTTCTCCCAGAATCAGAATCATTAGTCTGGATTTACAGTGGTATGCTCAGTTCGAATTAAGATCCAAATATCACTCCATTCACTATGCTGCCGTCTTTCAGCATCTTGGTCCTAGATATACCACTTTTCCTTGGAAAAAAGCACTGCACAGAGTACTTACAGAGCAATCAGCATGTTCATTTTGCAACACTTCCCTGAGTTTCTGAACTTTCTAGGTCGAACACACCATAGCAGGTAAACCAAGCAAAAGAAGAGTAATCCTGAAATGTCTTACCTGGTAGACCTCCACTTACATCTTTATACCGCACTTGCTAAGTTCAAGGAGTTGTTTCAGGCAGGTTTACAATAAAGATATTATAATTCTGCTATTTATTCCATTCTATTTAAGAGCCTCCAATACATCTTGGAGGCCTCTGCCTCTGTGAGACAGGCATTAAAGTAAGATTTGATAATAATTTCATTCCATTTAATCATACAAGAAACACTACATACAGGACGTAACACTAACTTCTTTCAGTTTTTCTGTTCTATGTTTCTGCTTGAATTCATAGTTTACACTTAAATATTTTTGCAGTATGCAAGAGATTGTCTCAAGTGCTGTAGTTTGACTCAGACACAGAACAAATATTACCGAAAAAATGATGATCAACTGTATCATCAGAGAAGCTCTTCCTCTACGCAGGTCTTGGCTAGAGTACTAGAGTTCAGATATTATGGAGCAAGTCAGGCACATCCATGATTTCTTGGGTTGTTCTACGGTCTTTGGGATATCCATCCCTTCCACAGCAGCAGGCACCTTCCATAGAGAGCTCTGTGTATATGTGGTATCAGTTACGGCTGAGTGAACAAATCCTCAAGCTCAAAGCATCAGCTGATATAAATCACTACTGTACTAATGAAGCCAAAAGAGCCACATCAGTTTACAATACAGGACATGACCCATACTTGCAGCCTGGGAAAGCAAGTCAAAAGAAAACTGCCTTTTCTTTTTATAGCCTGGTTCTCTAATTAGGATTTTTGTCTGCACTGTAATTTGGTATTGGGAAAAAAAAAAAGGCAGAAAAGAGCACCACATACTTTCAGCAGACAAATCACTATGAGCTATAAAAACTTGCTATAGCCGAATTTACTCAAACATAACCCACAAATGTTCCAGATTCTTCTAGACCCCAAAACCCATGAACAGTAATTGTTGCAAGCACACTGGGAACAGCAATTCAAGTTCTTACTAAAACAGCTAGCTACGAAGCACTGACATCACTGGCCTGCAAAGGGAACAGCTGCTGTGATCCTGAAAAATCTGGGGCTGAGGAGACTTGAACAAAACAGGAGAAACTGGAATAAAGCCATCCCACACCTGGACACCAACCTGGCATGAAGAGTCCAAGCAATGAGCACATCAGTTGCCTCTAGTGACAAGTGAGGGAAAGGCTTTTGAACTGAAAAAGTACAGGACTAAGCTCAGATAAAAAACATCTAGGCAAACAAAAATCAAACTAGCAAAGTGTTCCTTGATTATTGTGCAAAGAGTAAGTTATCTATTTTGCCACTCTGGGAACAAACAGGCTGTTTTAACGTGATTGTATCATTCGCTTGACAAGAGAAAGGATATCCCAGCTATAAACTGAGAAAATAGATGACTCATCAAGCAGTTGATAAACAGTTTGCTCTGCTAGAAAAAAAAAAGACCTGTACTTCAACTATTCAGTCCTTTTATGTCTGCACACTTCTGCCTAGTTCCCTCAAACAAGACTGTGAGAATAACCTCTGGCAGCCACCTTCCAGGACTACTCCCACTGAAGAGCAGTGAACCCTGATCCAAAAGCCTAGAGAGCCCGTACCCTGCAGTCTCCTTCAAAGTCACAGCAGAGGACTACTCTCATATTTTACCAGCATCCCTGTCACCTTAATTTCCTGCCTCTGAAGTCAGAGTTTAGGGTGTGAGCTGAAGCACTGCAGGCACACCACATTCCTCTGAATGGCACAATGATTTCTTGGACCTAGTCATCTTGTTCTCTCATGCAAGTCTCCAACAGAAGGACCAGCATTGCTCTGTCAACTCCATCTGAAGACAGGGAAAAGAGCAGGGGAGCAAAGGAAAAAGAGATAAACAAGATTTCAGTAATTCCTACTATTCTTGATGGGAACAATTTCTAAAAGCTTCATCAAAGCAAAGGAAATGGACTTGGGACCATCCACAAGTATAAATCTCAAATGTTAACCTCAGGAGTCCTTTATGAGAGGTACCATTAAGCAAAGGGATCGGCCAGAATTTACTGTTCCCTTCAGCTTTATAGAAGGAGAATGTGTGTTGGGAAAGTTTTCAGGCTTTTCCACAAGTGAGGAGGCATGAGCCTGTCTTCCCTCTTACAGGAGCTTTCTTACTTGTCAGCATGATTCTTCTCACTGAGCAAAAGGTAAAAGAAAAGCTTTTAGGAAATAATGCCCTTTTCCATTAAATTTAAAAATTATAAACCTTCACAACTAGCATACTTCTCCTATTGAAGAAAAGGAGGGAGCACTTTTTCTATTTGTAGTCAACAGTTCTCTCATTTGCCTACTTCTGTGATTTGCATTTTGGTGGTAACCCCCTCCCAATGCAGAGTTAGGGATACTCAGTGGTTTCAGCAGTCTGTTCAAAGCAGAGCAAGGACAACTGCATTTTGAACAGGATTGATGCAGAGACATGAATAAACTTGAACTGAAGTAGGCATGGTAAGGGATTTCTCATAACCTGACCCACCATAAACACCAGCATCACAGGAAAAAGATTTCATAGAATTTGTGATCCACCTTTGTATTTTCTGCACAAGAAGGGAGAGCAAGTCCTCTCCCACAGACATATTCATTCACTTGATAGACACACCACCAAAGCAAACTGCTGTACACCCTCTTCTCAATTGTCTCCTTGAGTACTTATCACATGTAAAAGAAGGTGGCAGACAACATGCTCTGAATGGACAAGAGCCACACAGCCCTGGATGTACCTGAGGACACTGAATTGAACCACACACTACACCAGCTCATATCAATGAGAAGGCTGGAGCCTCCTGCTACATCCTTATCATTACACAGCAAGAGTCCAGGTGAAAAAAGCTACATGACTGCTCAAAGTCTCGGATTAAGTCTTTTTTCTGAATCGGTTGCTGACAAGACTTTAATTCCAAATTCCATATGCTATAAATCACTATATGACTGAAAAAAACCATGGAGGAAGTGTTAACATAGTGTTAGGTTCCCCCGGGATTTATGGAGCTCTGTGTTGAAGACACCTTATTATAAAAACCAATTCTCATCTGAAGCAACTGCCAAACATGGTCTTTAAGGAGAACAACACACAGCCACTTAAACTTGATGTCACCTTGACATTTGGGCAATTCTGCCCAAGGTTTGCTTGATGAATCAAAATGAGAAGAATCAGCATTCTTTAGTGTAAGGAGGGAAAAATCATCATTTGTCTGTTTGCCAGGTCAACATAGTCAAACAAGATGTCATTTATGACTTTTTTTTTTCCTTTCATAACTACACATCTCTGTGGGTTCCCATACTACACAGGCATGAATCATTTGGGTATGACACTGACTATCAAGATGGATAGATAAGATTTCGAAATGTGAAGTAGTAGTACCAGGATCCCCTTCCTCCTCACAGCTCCCTCAAAAAAGTGGAAGAGTGCACTTGGCATGCTGAAGTGATGATATAGTACCAGTGGTACACTCCCCTTGGAAAATACCGGGCCCATGGTGATTCTCAGCATGTTATCCTTTAAACACCTTACAGGTAGCAATGCAGTCCCTCTACCTGCCCTGAAGCCATGCCATTCCTGCAAGTTGCGATGAAGTGCCTGAGAGGAGGAGCAAGGTGGCTCCTAGGCCCCTCTTACATCATTTCAGCCTTTAGATTGGTGCCACAAATCCACTCTTCACCTCGCCCCAGCACACTTCAAGGCACTGAAATGAAATTGCATCTTACCTTGTCTTTGTATAAAAACCCTGAGCAGTGGATGAGCACTTGAAACAGCCTTGAAGAAGTTGTCATCATTATTAATAGGGAGAAGGTCTCCATGCACATCAGCATATCCAATCATCACTTCCAGGTTGGCTATGTGATGAATGTGAAGAATTAGTTTGTAGAAGTCTTCAAACTTTCCTGGCTTGTAGCGATCCAGAGAGAACCTTCTGAACTCTGCCCCAAACTGCAAGAGAAAGCAAAGAAAGCATCAGCAGATGTGTCAACAGAGGCCAGTGCTCTAGCTTGGCACTCAAACATGGTCTACATCACCTTGCTCTTTTCATAGACTCCAAGAACATCAGAATCAATTGCGTTGGAAAAGATCTCTGAGATCGAGTCCAACCTCTACATATTCCAACATATTCCATGATGAATATAGTCACATGTTGTTTCTTACAAGTCTACAAATGGTCCTCACATTAGAACATAAACATGACTACCAAGACACCACTCTGTTTGACAACAGATATGCTCAAGTGTTCCATCTTAGAAGAAATCACATTTTTAAAACATTAAGTTTTCATTAAATCCTCTAGAGAATAACTGCATTTGTAGGATTTAAACAGGAGAGGAAAAATTTGATTCTCTAATGAAAGAAATTAAGAGAATGAAAATGGGCATCTAATTAAATTAAATGGCTTAAATCATCTTTCTGGTACACTTAATTTAATAATTCAGATTGTATAGTATTAATAAGCTACTGTTCATCAACTGAACCTCTAAAACCATGCTAACTCACTCTTGAAAGCATGGAACCACAGCCACACATCCAAGTACAAGTAAGGCTTGGACTAGGATCTCATGGAAGTTCTCATTTGCAAAGTCAGTCAATACAAGGGCTGGAAACCAAAGACACAAAACTAACAAGGACACAAAGAAAAAGAAGGAAAAAAAGAAACAAAAAAAGAGAGAATGTTCTCAAGATAAATTCTTCATCAAAATGAAGAATGACTTGCTTAGAGGTGCTCAGCTCTTAAATCAACTATACATGCAAGCCAATCTTTTGCTGAGACTAACAAAAGTATGAATCATCACTATAATCATCTTCAAGCAAAAAGAAAAAAAAAAAACCACGACAACCCTAATGGCTTTGGGCACAAGCATGTTCTCAAATTACTTCCGCAGTTATGAAAATCCCACTCTTCAGCATCAAAGCCTAGTTGTGATCATCTGAAAGCTTGTTTAGTCAAATTATGCTGCTTGTTTGTAATATTAACTGCTAGTTCCAGTTTGGATTTCAGAGTGCCCATCCAAATGCACAAGAGGCAAACAAACCACAGCTGGTTCCAATGGGGGAAAAACAGTCCTCCTTTGTCCTTCACCCCCCGCTCCTCTCCAGAGAAATCCAAGTGGCAACTTACTTCCATTGACACATTTCAAACTGAAAAAAATTTAAGTATTTTTACTTAAGTTTTCTTTTTCTTAGATTCAAGCAAGAAACAACCATCTTCCAGTGACAAGTTTATCTACATGGTAAACTAAGGGGGCAGGAACAAGGTCTTCGTAGGCTTTGTTTAGAGCTGCATCTCCTACTCTGCACACCTGAGCAAACCTGGGATTCCTTGGGATTCCTTTAGCCAAAATGCCAGGACATTCAGATGCCAATTCCAGGAACCATCTGTTTACTGGATAACTTGTTTAGGACCATTAGCACACACAAGGATGTGGCTGCTGTGCAGTCTCACCCCAGTCAGTACAACACCCATCCTACACAGCCCCCTCGGACACCTGCCTTGCACGGTCTGCCGGGGGAATCCATCGGTCCTGCTCTGCCCAATACATAAGCTTAGGGAGAGGCCAGCTCCTGCAAAGGGACAGCACACCCAGCAGGAACGTGACATGGAAAAGGAGAGAAGAAAGAAGTAAGGATGGTTACTTGCACGTTGCTATGACCCAAAGCTCAGCTTAAGTTGCCACATGAGAAGAGGACATGTGGCAAAAGGGCCAGGCCTCCCAGCCTAACCCTGTGGGCGTGCTGGACATGACACTACTGGATCAGTGGAGCGTGACATGTGGGAATGCAACTGCAGACTTGGGGCACTGTGGTCTGACATGAATGCTGTACAGTCAAACTAACTTGATCATATGTTCAGCCTTAGGAAAGTCCAAAAGACAATTTCATTTGCCTAGGAATAGGACAATAGTAAATAAAGTACAAGAGATTTCACTTGTACTTTTTGCATGACATAGCCTTTTAAGGCAAGAGAGCTAGAAGGTGATTCTGTAGAGAGGGGTAGGAGGAGGGAAGAGTGTCTTTTTCAAAAGAGATTTAAAAAGATAAAGAAGATGATTTTGTTTTTGTTTGAAGTTAGTATTACTGTAGTAATAGTCTAGCTGATTAATTCCCTCTGTGCATATACACAGGCAGCAACCATTGTCAGTGGGTCTTTTCAGAAGGGGGGAAAAAATGCTTCAGCTCATTCATCATCACTAATGAGGCTGATAGAAAGTATCGCAGTAATAATAGGTTTTGCAGTACCACACAGCTTGGAGACTGAGTGCTCTGCATTGTATTCAGCCAGGATTTTGAGGTAACATCCACCACGTATCTTACAGAAACTACAAAATCTGAGGGCTTTGCACAGATAGCCAAGATTACTAATCTGCTTCTCTAAACTACAAAGTTCATCTTTAGAGTATCTCTTCACAGAAAGATACACAGAGACTAGTGTCTGCCAGCAAAGTCTCTGCCAGCACAGTACTGTATTACACTGTTTGATTTGCTAACAGTTTTAACAGGTAGATTAGTTTTCCAGAATGAAGTAAATTATTCAGACCTATTTAACTAATACAAATACTGCATCTAGTATTGCAGAAGTCAGAGGACGAGAGGGACATAGATAACTTAAAAGAATTTAGTCTGACAGAGCTAATCATGACTGAAAAAAAAAACAAGCTAGAAAGAACTGTACGTTTTCTTTCACAAAAATAGCCTCTGTCCCAAGATCCTCAAAGTATCAGCCAACCACTATACTTGCTGTCTGCAGTTTGATGACAAAAAGCACACAACAAAATACATCAGGCAGAAACCTTGATAAAAACAGATGCCAAGTTAGCAAAAAAGAAAAGTGTTCAGATAAAAGTTGTCTTAAACAAGGAAGTCACAGCTAACTGATCAAAACTTACAGTCTGACCAAGAGCAATCAACTGCTTTTTTTGTGTTTTTTTTTCTTGCTAAGGGGTACGAGAGGTCAGAGGAGATGAGGAAACAAGATTTTGAGGTTTATTTACTTAGAGAACTGTTATTTTGTAAAATGAAAGAGTTATTTTGAAGTAAAAGAGATCAACTTTTTTTTTTTTAAATTTTAAGTTTCAAGAAGTTTACAGGGCCAAAAATGAATCCCTGTGTTTATGAAGTGCCATCCCTCCAGTTTATTGCTAGCTTTGAAATCAGGGTATTATAATAAGAAGACATCAAAGAGCAACATTTAGCAATAAACATGAATTATGTTGGCCACCTAGTTCTCTCATGGAGTAAAAAGTCAAGAACAGAAAGAAAAACAAACAGTTTCATCCTTGCATGGACTGTAATTTCTGCTTACCTGTGAGACTTTCAAAACTGGGAAGACCTAATCAGTGATGCTTTATCAGCAAGAAGAAGCAGAGCGTAAGAAAGAAGAGGGAAGACAATGTAAATGGTTTTGTGCTTGCTGACTTTACCTGGGACTTCAGAGCCCTGGTGTCACATTTATGTCTGTTTCTCCATTCCCTTTTTCTCCCCCAGTTATGTCTCCCCCAGCATATGTCTCACTCAGCACTCTCTTGCTCTCCTCCCGGTCTCACAGTGGTTGTCACTATGGAGAGACACCACCAAACACAGAGATATTCTCTGCAACAAGTTCCTTCTTCAACTGCTTGCCCCAAAGCAACTCTGCTTCATCCCAGTGATCAAGCTGGTAGAAGTGTGGGATTTCACATTCTGCTGTTCCGTGCTCACACCTTGCTAATTCTTCCAAGAGACAGTCACAAGAGCAAGACACCCTCTCTTCTATTTGCCTTTCACAGAACCGACATCACAGATGTAATTTCACTACCTTCTCCCCCAAACTTTTTTCCTGATTGATATCATGCCATATTCCTACCCTTCTTCCTTCTATTCCCTCCTTTCCCATAAAAATACAGCCAGGCTTTAGTATCCTAAAAATCTTAGAATAGTTTCTCTTCCCAAAGAAAACCAGTGGTTCCCATTCTTTTTCGTGCTTCTTGGATACAATGCTTCACATCTCTGCTTTTTGTTTGAAGAACAACCTTTGTAACTGCTTCAACCCTCTCCAGCAGTCTGTAAGGTTCAGTTCATGATAATACTTTTCTTTCTTCTGCATCTACTTGGAAGAGAAAGTCAGCTTCTTTGTCTATCCCCATCACCCTCAGTTCAACTTCTGTTCATGAGATGCACTTCCTATTCAACTTCATAAAAATTCTCTTCATAGACGCTCAGCTGCCAGCTCAAGGGCAACTTAAAGACAAGCTGATCCTTTCCCCTGCCTCACCTACCTTATTTCATGATTATTGGGAACTAGACCACTACACTGCCTTCCCCAGCATCTCTAACTCCAGTGCTACCTTTCATTCAGGTAGTTGCATATATTTATGTGTTAATTACCCAGATCTTTTCTGCCCAATATCGTAAACCCATGGACACCATTCAGCTACTCATCTGCACACCTGGACTGCTGCTCTGTACTTTATCCTTGCTTTCCTAAACACTATCTTGCCTCATTACCAGGCGGGAGTCTGTGAAAATAGCTATCCATGAAAGCAATTTTATCAGCCTGTTCACTGGAACCCATCATTCCTTTCTTTGCCACCCCTGCTCCAGTAGCTCCTCTCATATTAGATCACCCACATAGCTGCTTCCTCCCTACCATCTCTCTCAGTCCTGCCTCCAAGCAGCATACTGCCAGCCTTTGTCACCGCCTCACCTCTTGATATTTAAACCCCCACTGCTGTTCTCCTTCAAGAAACAGTCATTAGCAGCAAAGCAAAGCCTTTAAAATAAATAACAAGTGCAAAGTCCACCTTTCCAAAAGAAAATCTCTTCCTTTTTTATGCCAGTCCCCTATATCTCTGGGAAGAAACCAAACTCTGTTTGCAAATGATGTAGACCAAGATGGTCCTGCGTTTTCAAGAGAAGACCAAGCATCACACACTCCTTAACGCCACAGAGCTTAAGCACAAATACAG